CTTAACCAACTGAGCCACCCAGGCGCCCCATTACAGTTTTTTTTTAAATAACATCATGGTCCAGTTTAGCTTAGGAAGTAGTCAACAAAATATTTAGCATAAATGAAAGCTGAGTTGAATGTGACAGTAGGAAGGTGTCTGTACACAGTTAATATTTAATTTCTATGTCCCATCAGTTGTTTGTGTAGCTGTACAATTAAGTAATCTAAACAGGTTTTGCCTATATGAAAATGTTTCCAATAAAAGCACCAATGAATTAAACCAATTGAAATTATGAAGCTAGGGCTGTACCTCTGGTTCAGGTTAGAGCTCTACATGTGTACATTTCTTTCTCTACAAGTACTTCTTGCCTTAAAGAAGTTCACTGTTCATATAGGTATTTTTATGAGTAGGCCCACTGGGAGTACATTGTTGCCTTAACCTTACCACCAAAGTTTCATGGAAGGACAAGGAAAACATCTTGTGTTTGTGAGTTTCCTTTCATGTGGACTGCTTACCCCATACTTTATCCATTGGGATATGCCAATGGGACGAAGTCCTCGAGTTTCCCTCCACAGTTAAAGAGAATTCTCTACTGGGCAATTTCACACACTACAACTTTAATGCTTCTTCTTCTACTGAGCTACATTAATACTCTTCTTGCTATTTTTATGTTAGAAATAAGCATCCAAGTGTTTTCCCTAAAGCCTGTGTCAATCTTCTGTCGACTGTCAATCTTGCACAGAATCATGACACTGTGCATCAAGAAACCAATCTTTTTCCTTAATTAATTAACGCTAGGATTAATTTTACTGACAGTGGTAGTATTTTTCCTTTCATAAATAGTGTAAACAACTATGTTGATAATTTCATTTCAATTCAAATGTCATAAGCAGAGAATCTAAACAATTAGCAATATTATTTAAACAAAGGAGTTTGTTCATGTTTTAGAAATTCATGGTTAGGCTGTAACAAAATAAATAATATCTACGACCAGTTAAATCTCTGGTTTAAGTGTCATTAACCTGTCAAAGATCTGGGTAGACACATGAAAGCTGCCTTGAATCATCACGCACCTATACCTTGAAAGAACAACTCAACTGCATTAAAAAAGGGTGCAAGAGTGCCTTGAAGAAAATCAGAGTTTATTTGCTGCCAGCAAACTAGGGTGAACCAAATTACTACAAAGTGGTTACATGGATTATGCAATCACAAGATACAAGCAGCACAAGACATTACTAGAAAGACCAGCACTGCAAAGCAAACACACACTCATACATATACACATAGATGCACAGATGCAGACACACACACACACACTTCCAGCATGTCTGTTACTGGAGGACACTGGGGAAAGAAAAGAGAAACCAAACTCACATCACACTGAAAAGGCTTTTCTCCAGTATGCGTCCTCTTGTGCTCATCCAGGCCTCGCTTCTGGCTGAAGGCTTTGCTGCACTCTGAGCACTTGTATGGCTTCTCCTGCAGTCAGTGGAAAGAGAGCGCCATGAATATGAGTGAACTTAGAGCCCTCCTTACTAAGGTGTATGGGGGTGGTGGTATTTTATCTAGTTCTGTAGGGTGCCGCAGCAAATCCAGAGGGGTGCCATGAGTTATTTTAAATATTCAGAAGAAACAGCACTACTCAACATCTGCTGGACAAACTGAACTACTTGGCTCATGGCAGTTCAGTTCCAACATTAGATTGTACAACAGTTCTTTTAATTATGTCTTACCTTTGCAAGGCTGGGTTCTGAATGATAGACATGATCTAACTACTAAAAGAACTGAACTCTTAGGTTTTCTTTTGGTCTTGGCGGGCTGCAAAAATTTACTGAGATACTAAGGGCATCATGGACCAAGAGAGTTTGGGACCCCTGATCTAGATGGTGCAAATTGTTTACTATCTCAGAGGAATTCCTGGGAGTGAAAACTTCAGAACAAAATTGTCATCAGATTTTGGGGGTGAGTTTAAAAAACTACAGCTCACCTGTGATTTAAGTATTTTCATTTCTATTGCCCAATCTTTCTTTCCTAGGTAGAATATTCTTTTATAAAATCTAAGTTACTTTTTTAAATGAGGCATTTTTAAATTCTTCGTCACAGACTTGTAAGGAAAAATAATATCTCCACAGGAAAAGAAAAAAATGTCCACATTCCTTAGCCACCTTTGATACCAGGTACTTATATCACCATCCTTTTCACTTGGAAAGAACTGCAAAATAAATTAACATTGTTCCATTAAAACAGCCCGTGAAAAAAAACAACCCCAAAACAGCTGGTCATTACTAAACAGTGCATAAATAAAAATATTTGAGGAAAAAAAATAAGATCTGTTTAAAGTAAACCTGCAAGGAGATTTTTTTCCCAAATACATCTTCAAAAATGTTATAGTTTTTTAAATTGAGGTGGTAGTGTGTGTGTGTGTGTGTGTGTGTGTGTGTGTGTGTGTATGTATTTAATTTCCTGTTATGTGGACAAGTTCCATGCATATTTTCTCCTCAGTATTTAAAAGAGTATTATAACATTTTCAGACCTACAAAACCAAACCAACATGTGTGTGTCTCCAGCTAGCTCTTAAGGAATCAAACATTACCAGTACGTGCCTCTCAACGCACCCGCACCCCCACTCCTTGACTGCAGCACCAGTCCATGTCCTCAGAGGTGACTACTGTGCTGGACATGGAGCTTATCATTCCCTTGCTTTTCTCTACATTTTTTACTGCACATGCATAGAAGGATCTCTAAGTAAGACATAGTATTATTTTGCCTTTTAAACTTATTTAAATAGCATCATACTGTATGTAAACTCTGTGAGTTCTTTTGAAATTGACTTATTTTTGCTCAACATTATCTTTATGAGCTTCTAGTCCCCAATTTCATTTTGTGAACACATGTTGTTCCTACTCATTCATTTTTAATACCATATTACATTCAATGGCTATACCCCATTTTGCTTACATACATTGTCCAGTGATGAGTAGTTCATGTTTTTCCAATTTTTCACTCTTACAGATAACATTGCTCTGGATTTTTTTGTACATGTATACTTGAATGCAGAAATGTAATCCCCTATGGTATTTTAGCTAGAAGTGGGATTGCACCTTCAACTTTTCTAGGAATGGCCAAACTCTACAGAGTGGATAAACCATTTTACACTCCAACATTCAGTATATTCTTATAATTCTATCACTGTATTTTGCAAATTTTGAGACTCATGAGATACATGATGAGTATATATAAGTTTAAAACTCTTATGTTCCTAGAAAATAGGACCTTTTATCATTTTGAAGTAATCTTCTTTATCTGTAATAATTCTTTTTACTTTAAAATTAATTTGGTCTTAATATACTTATAAAAGCTTTTTAAAATTAGTATTTGATGGGCGGTAGGGAAATTGGGGAGATATTGGTCAAAGGGTACAAATTTGCAGTTAGAAGATAAGTTCTGGAGACCTAATGCACAGAATTGTGATTTATAGTGAACAATACCATAGGATGTATTTTAAAGTTGCCAAGAGACTAGATCTTAAATGTTCTCACCATCTCTGTACACATACACACACACACACACACACACACACACACACACAAAGGTAATTACATGACATGATGGAGGTTTAGCTAACACTGGTGGTAATCGTATTGCAATATATAAATGTATCAAATCAATACCTTGCATCCTCTGAATGTGTATAATGTTATACATCAATTATACCTTAGTTTAAAAGAAAAAGGCAAAAAAATAAATAAAGTAAAATTAGTGTTTGCCTGGTATATTCATCTTTTAACTTTCAAACAATCTATATCTTTAGGTATGAGGAGTGTCTCCATAAACAGTATCCAACTGGATTTTTTTAACCTACCCTTATTTCACTTTTTTTTAAGATAGCAAGTTTTGCCTCTTAATATTCATTATTATTATCATTTATAATTACTGTTATAAAATATGTTAGTATATTTATCTATTAATATTTGTTGTTATCAAAAATATACTTGAATATATTTCTAACATTTTATTTTGTGCATTGCTTTTATCTTGCTTATCTTCTCAGGTTTTTTCCCCTTATATTTTCTTGTATGTTTTGGATTGATGATTTTGGCCCCGTATTATCATGGAAGTTATGAACAGTATTTCTCTTAGTGGTTATCCTTAACAATTCTACCATGTACATTTAACACAATCTGAAGTGTATCTGTATGCTTTCCCTCCTACTGAATAACAAGTCCTGAAGAATGCTCCTGTCTTACGTGTTATGTGTAACAGTATTTTACTGATTTTTAATGCCCAATATGGAATCATTATTACTTTATACAACAGTGTGGTTCAGTTTTATACATGCTTAACAATCTCTTTATTTTTCATGCGTTCTTATCTGACCTTCAGAGGATCTGATGATGGTAAATTCTGTTTTCATTTGATTGAAAATGACTTTCTCATTTGTTATTAAGTGAAAGTCTACAAATCCAATTAGATGTATAACAAAGTCTATTTTTCATGTCTCTTAACCATTTCCATCTCTTTGTATTACACCATATGTAATTTCTTTAGATTCAGTGGATCAAATTATCTTCCGGTATGAATAACTTGTTAATAGGATCATTTGAGTTTTTAATTTCCATTATATTTTAAATTTTTGTAAGTTATTTGGTTCTTTTCAATTATGCTTAATTTTTGATAAAATCTTTTTTACTCATGTTGCTTATGTCTATTTAAAAAATATTCTAGACATTTGTGTAATTTACCTCATCTGATAAATCATTATCTTAAGTTTTTTGGAAATCTAATTCTGCTATTTGTGGTTTCTCCTGTCTCCTGCTCATGGCTCTTGTTTCCTTGGGTGTTTCTGGAATTTGGAATCATAGGCTCATGTTTGGTGGTCTTTATCTGTTAAAATTCTGTGACCCCTAGGTTGAGGGTAAGTCCCTCCAGACAGCATTTGTGTTTGCTTCTGCCAGGCATTCTGGGATGCTATCAATCAAAGACCATTTTAAGTTTATTTCTTGCCTTAGGGTTTTCTGCTCAGGGAAGCATTTTAAGTCTGAACTCTAAACACACTTGAGGGAAAGACTGTGGTTACAAACTCTAAGGAGAACTCTTTTTCTCTAGCCAGCAATTACTCTGAGACAGTTAAATGTCCCAAGCACCTCCATTTGCCAAAGTTAGATTATTTCCAGTTCCTGATTTCATTTTGAGTATCGCTTTTCTAGGGTCCCAGCATTGTGGTGGGATGTGGTTCCATCTCGCCCTATAACCTAAGCCCAGAGTTTGCCTCCCTTTCCATCACCATTAAAAACCAAACCTTGAATTTACAGATACTGGCAAACACCCTGAAGGTTGTTCTCATTCTCAACTCTGGCATTTGGCTGCAGTTTGCTTTGCTGGATCCCGAGGATTACTGTTGCTTTTTTTTTTCACAAGTTCAGATATGTGCTATTTGCTTTATTATATCCAGCGTGGATAGGTGTTTTGTATAGGGCCTCTTTATTTTAAATGATGGTTCAAAGTTAACAGAAAAACACTGCATTTTCTTGGCAGTCCAAAAAATATGTTTACTGTTTTCATTTAGTCTAAATCAACACAATCTCTTTTCACATATTGCATGGTCTTTGGTGCCTATTATTTCCTCAAATATTGCCCAGTTCTTTAAAAAAAAAACCAACCAAACAAAACTTGAAAATGTAGTTGTAAGTATTTAAATCAGAAATTTCTTGGAGTTGCTGGAATTTTTATGATATCCAAACATTTTACCTAAACTTATATTTTAAAAACATATAAAGATATATCAATATGATGTATATGAAAAGAAAAAAAAAGGAAAGCTCTTCTCCCTACAATTTATCTATGAAACAAGATCTTGTGAACAAGACGCACATCACTGTGGCAGCTGCAATGATAGGTAAGTGTCTGGCAGGGAACAGCCTAAGACAGGACCAGTTATCTGGATGACATCCTAAGAGAGTGACAGGAAGTTTCCAGGAGGAAAAGGCAGTGAAAAACAAGGTCTGAGAATCACTGATTAAGAACACCCTTCTCGGGCGCCTGGGTGGCTCAGTTCGTTAAGCAACTGCCTTCGGCTCAGGTCATGATCCCGGAGTCCCTGGATCCAGTCCCGCATCGGGCTCCCTGCTCGGCAGGGAGTCTGCTTCTCCCTCTGACCCTCCCCCGTCTCATGTACTCGCTCTCTCTCATTCTCTCTCTAATAAATAAATAAAATCTTAAAAAAAAAAAAAGAAAAGAAAAGAACACCCTTCTCATTCATTCTTAAATTTCCTCTTAGCAGGTCCTGTCTAGGGAAGCATCCTACAGTGCCCCATGGATACTGAGAAAGGTTCTGAGCCAGTGTATGGAGATTCCGGCAAAGCACAGGGGTTTTGCAGTTATCACAAGAGTTTTCAAAAACCCAAATATGTATTATGCATTGGCTTGGATTGAATAAATAATGTTTTACACACACACACACACACACACACATATTCACC